ACTCCTGCTCTGAGGACTCCAGGGACACGGATACAGCGCAGCCCAGCACTGACGCAATCCAAGACACGACCCGAAAACTCGACCCGAGGCCTCGTCCCGGCAGGCCTTTAGGGTTTCCGGACCCCGGCCCCCTGGGCCACTTTGTGTCAGATTTCTCCGCGCCAAGAATCACTTGAGGGAGAGGCGGAGACCTCGCCCTCCTCTCAGTTCATTTGACGCCTCAGGAGTCCTCACCCTGTCAGACTTACCTCTTGCTGAGGGGCCGAACCCTCACGGCCACTCGCACATTCGCCATCCCTCGGCCACCGCCCAAGCCTAGCAAGTCCGCCCAAGGGCAGCACCCCCGGCCCCAACCACACGCCCAACCCGGCCCCGCCCGCCCCACGCGCCTCACGGGCCTCACGGGACGGCCCCGCCCATGCGCGCGCCGTGGGCCGGCGTGGGTGGGGCCTGCCGTGCCTCAGCCAATCCTGAGCCGGGTGGGCGGGAGGGGGCACGGCCTGGCCCCGCCTGCCCGGGCCGCCTCGCTCCGCCCCGTGTCGCCCCGCCGCACCCCCGACGCGGCCCCTCCCATGCGCGCCGCTGTTCGACGGGGGCGGTGCCTGACGTGCCTCAGCCAATCGTGAGCCTGGCCGCCGAGAGGGCGCGGGTCCCGGCCGGGTGAGGCCAGGTCCCAGCTACCGGGAACTAGCTTTTGTTCCCGGACGCCGCAACGTGACGGAAGCGAGTAAATACGTTCACGTTTCGGTTAACGCGGAGTTTGTAACGGAATTTGCCAAGTATGTGTATTCGCTGCGTTGGCCTGAGTTGGCGATTCTGTACTTAAATTTTAGGGGCAGAATTGAAATGGGGAACACTGATGTTTTTGCAGCTGCCGGCAAAGAGCAGGGTCTCTTTGAAGAGGCGCTTGGAGTGTGGAGAAGTATGGAGCGCTCCAAATTTCTCTCGATTGTGATGGAATTTCATGGCCACTCTGGCAGTGTTCGTGGTAGTGGGGAGGCTGCGGTCAGTCAGAAATGGTTCATTAGTTCATCCAAGAAATAACTTGGGTACCTACCAAGAGTCAAGTGCCGTTTTAAGGTTCCGGAGGATACAGCCCCAGTCTTCATGGACGTTAGAATCTATAGGGAAGGGGAAAGTGACAATATAAATAATTTGTTGAGTGTGCTGACTGCAATTTTTTTTTTTTTTTTTAAGAAGGGTAAGATACAGTAATGGTTTTGGGGTATGTCGAGGGAAAGGTACTTTTTTTACATAGGATCTTCAGGAAAGGCCTCACCGATAAGGTGACACTTGACCAGATTTGAAGAAACTGAGGGAGGGAGTTGTGCAAGTATTCATTTATTTAATAAATATTTTCTAGGTAAGCACCTATTACGACAGGCTTTGTTCTAAGCAGGAGGGACATAAGCAGTGAAGAAAACAAGCAAACCCCTGACCGCATGGCACTTGGTGAGAGAAATTAAGAATAAGCAAAATAATTTGAGTGATATGTATATCAGATAAGCTAAGGAGAAAAAAATAAAGTAGGAGAGAGCATAGAAAGTGAGTAGAGGGATCCCTGGGTGGCGCAACGGTTTGGTGCCTGCCTTTGGCCCAGGGCGCGATCCTGGAGACCCGGGATCGAATCCCACGTCGGGCTCCCGGTGCATGGAGCCTGTTTCTCCCTCTGCCTGTGTCTCTGCCTCTCTCTCTCTCTCTCTCTCTCTCTCTCTCTCTCTCTCTCTCTCTGTGACTATCATAAAAAAAAAAAAAAAGTGAGTAGAGAGGGTGTTGAAATTTTAAATATGGCCTGGTTAGTCTTTGCTGAGAAAATGACAGAAAAAAAATCTGAAGGATGTGAAAGAAAGAATCCTGTGGTCATCTGGAAGGACATTCCAGACACAGGGAACAGACCAATGTGAGGGCCCTGATCTTGGACACAGTGGAATATTAGAAAAAAAAGAAGGAGTATCTGAGTGGCTCAGTGGTTGAGCATTTGCCTTCAGCTGAGGGCAACATCCTGGGCTCCGTGGATCCGGGTGATCGAGTCCCACATGGGGCTCCCAGCTAGTGCCTACTTCTCCCTCTGCCCTATGTCTCTGCCTCTCTCTGTGTTTCTCATGAATAAATAAATAAAATCTTTTTTAAAAAAAAAGTCCTTGGATTTTATTCTAAATTAATCAGAAAACTTGGAAAGTTTTAAGGAAAATGCAAAATTATGTGATTTATATCTTTAAAGGATCACTCTGGCTGCCATTTTGAGACTAAGTTGAGGAAAGGGGAAAACTGAAAGCCCAAGAGGAACCAGTCAGGAGGCTATTTTAGTACTCCAGTGGTAGTACTAGGTTCATGGTGGTGCCTTTAATATGTCGGGCATGTTTCAGTAGTTTACCTTTCCAGCCTCCCCTTTCTCGTCTATTTGAAAGTATTTTTCCCTAGAGTATTGGGACAGGAGGTTTACCATTCCCATTCACATGGAACCCTAGTCTTATGAACGGCTTCTCTACTCACTGTGCCTTGCAGTGAAAAGAATCAGTATTAGGGAAGACAGTACATTGGTTCTTCAAAGAATTAAAAATAAGATTACCTTATGATCCAGCAATCCCCCTTTTAGGTACGTATCCAAAGGAAATGAAATCACTGTCTAGAAAATTTATCTTCATTACCCTGTTCATTGCAGCATTATTCACAATTAGCCAAAACATGGAAACAATTTACCTGTACATCAAAGATGTATAAAGAAAATGTGGCGTGTGTAATGGAATATTAATCAGACATTAAAAGAAAGGAAATCTGCCATTTGTGATAACATGGATGGTATTATACCAAGTGAAATAAGGTAGAGAAAGATAAATCCTGTATGATGTCACTTATATGTGAAATCTTAAAAAACAAAACTCATAAAAGCAGACTAAATTGGCGGTTCTGGGGCTGGGGTGGGGAAAATGAGAATGTTAGTCAAGGGGTAAAAAATTCCAGATACAAGTTCTAGGGACCTACTGTATAGTGACTATAGCTAACAATACTGCATTGTATACTTGAAGGCTGCTAAGAGGGGCACCTGGCTGGTCCAGTTGGTAAAATATGTGATTCTTGTTCTGAGGGTTGTGTTTGTTTTTTTAACAATCTGTTTAAATCAATCCAAATAAATTGGGTTGATGTCTTTTAAACTTTTATTTAGTAGCTTCCTTGTTCTTTTCTCTCCCTGGCATGAATTTATTTAAAAACAAAAATAAAAACAGGCCATTTCCCTGTAGATTTCCCACAGACTAAATATTTGCAAATTGATCTCTGTGGTGATATTCAAGTATTTTTCTAACCTCTGTATTTTCATTAGTTGGTAGTTCAATCCAGAACCTTGATCAAAGTTCCATATCCAGTTCTTGTTTAATTTAGTGTCTGAGGTATTTAATAAGAATAGCCTGGAGAGGGAAATCAGAGTTACCAAAGTCATCTACCCTACTTTGGTTAAATTTAATAACAGCAAGGACTTTCACTTATTATGTACTATGAACTGATTGTTTTTCATCTATTATTTTATTCAATCATCCCAAGAATTCATGAAGTAGGCAATGTTTCCAGGTAGAAAAAGGAAATTAAAACATATTTTAAAAGTTAGAACATATAGTCATAGATCAGAGGAAGGGGTAAAATAAAGGAAATGCTAGAAAAACCGGGCAGCATCTCAATTCCTCCAAAATATTCTTCAGTGACTTTTTTTTTTTTAAGGAGGCAGGAGATAGTGGCAGAGGGAGTGGAAGAGAATCTTAAGCAGGCTCCATGCCCAGCACAGAGCCTGATGTGAGGCTTAGTCTCATAACCCTGAGATCACAATCTAAGCCAAAACTGGGCTGGATACTTAATCGACTGTCACCCAGACACCCCAGAGTGGCATCATTATGTTTGTTATGAATTTACAAATTTCATGTACCTCTGTTGATTCACAAGTTTCTGTTTTCCAGGTGCAACTTAAAATTGGCCCCCGTATTTATTGGGCAGAATGAGACTGAAGAGAGCCTGGCTCCTCCAAGTTGGTAGATGGCAGATTTAATAAACAAGGGAGCTTACATTATGAGGGTTGTCTTGGGATCTACAAGACAAGTAGATCTCCAAGTGTCTTGTAGATCCCCAAGTCTATCTGCCAAATCTTAGAAGTTTATACTTAGAGGCCTTAACTGGGTTGTTATGTATACCATACAGAAGGTCTCAGTACATTGCTATCTCAAGGCTAGGTCCTTTGGGCAGCTAATATCCCCAACATTCCAGGGATAGGGGAGGGGATGAGGAGCTTCTGACTGCTGGGGTCCAGCTCACAGATTAACTGGTAGTCACATTTTCTTGATGACTTCTCCCACCTAGACAGTACAGAGCATTCTTTAGTATCCCTAAAAGCTGTGTAATGATAATAATAAAAAAAAATGATCAGTACTTATACACTACCATACTACTAAATTTTTTTTCAAAGATTTTTTTATTTATTAATGAGAGATACAGAGAGAGAGTGAGGGAGAGACATAGGCAGAGGAAGAAGCAGGCTTCATTCAGGGAGCCCGATGCTAGACTTGATCCCGGGTGTCCACGATCAGGCCCTAGGCTGAAGGCAGCGCTAAACTGCTGACCCACTGGGGCTGCCCAAATTTTTCTTTAAGGTAGACCTTTCTTATTTTAAAGATTTATTTGAGAGAGAGGATGGGTGTTGGAGGGTCAGAGAGGGAGAGAAGCAGACTCCCCTCTTGAGTGCAGAGCCTGATACAGGAATAAATCCCATAACATCGAGATCACAACCTGAGCTGAAATCAAGTTGGAATGCTCAATCGACCCAGCCAATAACCCAAAGTAGGCCTCAGTCTTAACTTACCTCAAGCTTTTGAGTCAGGTAACCTATAGGCCTATGCAACTATACTTGAACTGCAGACACTACATAGAGAATCTATCACATAGGATTCAGACAAGAGCCACAAAATTTTAGTTAGAAATTACAGGTTTATTATTATTTTTTTAATTTTGAGAAAGACATACTAGATAAAAAGATAAAGCCAGGCATTATCAATTTTTGTGACATAGTATATATATATAAATATAAATATATATACACAAAAAAAAATATATGAAATCACATGAAGAAAAAAAAGAGTAAGATGTTTGAAACCAAGGCTGGGCTTTTTTTTTTTTTAATTTTTATTTATTTATGATAGTCACACAGAGAGAGAGAGAGAGGCAGAGACATAGGCAGAGGGAGAAGCAGGCTCCATGCACCAGGAGTCTGATGTGGAATTCGATCCCGGGTCTCCAGGATTGCGCCCTGGGCCAAAGGCAGGTGCTAAACTGCTGTGCCACCCAGGGATCCCCTGAAACCAAGGCTGGGCTTGAACAAACTTCTAATGAAATACAACTAAAACTTTGTTCAAATGACTAGACAATGTCAGGCAATGTTCAAGATGTTACAACCACTCTTCTATATCCCATTTACAAAGTCAGCAAAGTAGGCTTCAAAATATGATCCCTGGTTGTTCTGGCAGTTTTTCAGTAATGATCCTGCTTCCTTTTGAAGAACTACTTTACTCAGTCACTGCGTTGAGGTCTTCCTGTGTTAAGGAGTACGATGAAAAGGATCAGAGAACCTTGCTGACAGAGAATGCAAAAGCATAAAAATACCGATGCTTCTATTTTTTAAAAGCAAAAGAAAATACCAAGTCTGAAAAATAACCCAGAGGTAGTTATAGTATTCATACAAATGAATACAACCTAAGGCTTAGTGTTACACCACTTTAAAAAAAAATTATTTGAGAGTGCATGAAAGCACAGGTGGAGGATCAGAGGAAGAGAATCTCAAATGGACTCCCTGCTGAGAGTAGAGCCTGACCCAGAGGATCATGGGCTGAAATGAAATCAAGAGTTGGGACACTTAACCGACTGGGCTGTTCAGGCGCCCCAATATACAGCTCTCTTTTATATGTACAATAGTCTCAGGTAAAGTATCTGAGCATTTTGTAAGGCAAACCACTTAAAGTTTTACTATAATATGGCTTTTTCTGTTCTTTATTCTACCTTTCTTCTTTGCCTGCTCATAAGCCTACCCATGAACACCCTCAGAAATTTCTTCATGTCTCAGGGTCTTTTTTTTTTTTACCCCCCACCCCCATGTCTCAGGGTCTTGAATATTCCCTCCCCCCAGGTTTGATGGTTGGAGAATTCACAGGGTTTAGTGTATCACTGTATCCATGGGCATGATATTAACAAAAGCATACACAGTAAAATAGCAAAGGGAAAAGGTGCACGAGGCAAAGCCCAGGTGAAACCAGACACAAGCTTCCAGAGCCCTCTGCTACTGGAGTCTCACACAGGATATGCTTAATTCCCACAGTAACTAAGGTGTAACGTGTCAAATGTCTTTCATGAAAGCTCATTAGAAACCCAGTGCCCAGGGTTATGATCATGGGCTAGCCACACAGGTACCTTCTGTCTAATATATATCAAAATTCTAGACTCCCAGAAGGAATGGGAGACTAGAACCACACTGCAGAAACACTTGAGTCACTATGAACAACTCTAATCACCAGTGATAGTGGAAGGAGCCCTGCTGAAATCTAAATTCCAAGAAGCCAGACAAGAGCCAACTTTGTAAGCAGGCCTTTCAAAGGACAGCAGCCAGGTCTACTACATTTGTTCTTTCGTATATACTTAGCAACTGTCTCACAGTGAAACTCAACATACTTTCATTTTCAAGGAGACTCTTTTAATTCAGAAACAAGCATTTAAAAAGACATTTAAAAAAAAAAAAAAGGGAACCCTGGGTGGCGCAGCGGTTTGGCACCTGCCTTTGGCCCAGGGCGTGATCCTGGAGACCCGGGATCGAATCCCACGTCGGGCTCCCGGTGCATGGAGCCTGCTTCTCCCTCTGCCTATGTCTCTGCCCCTCTCTCTCTCTGTGACTATCATAAATAAATAAAAATTTAAAAAATAAAAAAAAATAAAAAAAAAGATGACATAAGAGTCTCCTGAGATACTGTCATATTTGATCTTCAAGAGTTTTACTGAAAAGTAGAATGTAAATACATGAAAAAAAACAAAAGAAAATTCAATTTGGTCTTAATGAACTTGGAATCTTAGTATTTCAATATAAAGAGAGCTCTTGCAGTACTGCTAGCAGCAGAGCCTATAAATGCCCATATTACAATTGGCTAGAAATAGACTTCGATGACTACATATAATTAGGCAAAAATAAACAGTTGACAATCACTTGGAATTAATGGTTTGGACATGAACTTTAGAAGTAAAAGGTAAAGAAGGCTTTATAACATCATGTTTATGAAGATAATTTTCTTCTGCTAGTATTTTGGGAATACAAGAGGAAATTTCCTTTTGCTGTTCTCGCCACTTGAGTATATTCTCTGCCAATTCTTCTGTCTCAGTCACCAACATATCCATTTTTGCTAAAGCCATGCTCTGTAGTATTTGAAAGGAGAAAACAGGAGAAATTACATCTGTCATTAATACAACATTATTATATCATAAATGGTTAGGATACCAAAAGTTCACACCCAACCTTTTCTAGCCCCTTAATACAAAGGCATCTTAAAATTGTGTTCTCCCCACTTATTATAGTACACGCTTTTTCTTTATGAGTTCACCTCCCTTTGTCTTCAATTATCACCTCAAAGCGGATGACACATAATTTATATTGTAAAACTACTTCTTTCCTAAAATTCAGTCCCATATTTGTCTATTGAAAATCTCTAACTGAATGTACATTCAGTATCTCAAACTCAATTCAGTTGCAATTCAACAATGACAGAAGATTTACTATCTGTGCAAGGCATGTCAGAAAACAGTCATTAGCTTTTTTGATTTCTTGATCCTACTCACCTTCAAGTCACCAAGGCTAGATAGTTCATGATCATGGGTGTGTCCCTTGTCCAAAAAGTAGACATATTCTAGAAATTTGCCATCCCAAATAAAAATCTACATAATCTTTTGTTTTCCTATGCTTTAAATCTTGTATCTGAATGCTTGTATTTATTTTCTAAGTTTCTCTGCCTTTGCTTCATTTGCCTAGTTCTCTAGTCTATGGCTTATCAAACCTTATGTGTGTAGGAATCACCTGAGGAAATTGTTAAACTACAGATTCAGATTCTGAAGGTCTAAGGTGAATTAAGTCTGCAATTCTGCATTTCTAACAAGCTTCCAGGTGATGCTGAGCTCTCTGTCCATACTTTGAGTGACTTAGTCTCCTTTTTTTTTTTTTTAAAGATTTTATTTATTTATGAGAAGGGGGCAGAGACACAGGGAGAAGCAGGCTCCACGCAGGGAGCCCCACGCGGGACTTGATCCCGGGACTCCAGGATCACGCTCTGGACCAAAGGCAGGCGCTAAACCGCTAAGCCATCCAGGAATCCCCTGACTCGGTCTACTCTATCCAATATTTTCTCCATTACAGTATAAGTCATCCTCTTTACCCTGCTCTAAAATAAAAATAAAACCAAAAATCCATTTGAACTGTTGAATGTTCCCCAATACTCGGAGAGTAAAGTCTGCTTCCTGGTCTGCTTTTCAAGGCATTCCATAAACTTAACTCTGATTTAATCTCCCTTTCAATATCTTTAAGTATCAGCCAAAGGGGAAGTACCACTCTTCCCCCAAACTGCCAGTGCTAATTTTCTTCTTCTTCTTTTTTTAAGATTTTATTTAATTTGAGAGAGAGAGCATGAGTGGGGAAGGGCTGAAGGAGAGGGAGAAGCAGGCTCCCCACTGAGTGCAGAGCCAAAAGAGGGGCTCGATTCCCAGGACTCATTCTTGGTACTCTAGGATCATTACCTGAGCTGAAGGCAGGTGCTCAACCAACTAAGCCAAGATAGAGAGTATCTTATTACAGCTCTCTCACTAAACCTTGAGAATTTGAGGGCAGGGATTGGTCATATTTGTTTCTCTCTCCTGATACCTATAGCATTGCCCCTTGCACAATATAAAAAAGAACATTTATTAAATATTAGAATAAAACAATGTAAAATGACTTCTAAAAAAGCTCTAACAAAATCCATCTTAATTTTAAGAAATAATTTATTCAGAATATTAGTCATCAAAAAGTTAAACAAAGGGGTGCCTGGGTGGCTCAGTTGGTTAAGTAACTCTTGATTTTGGCTCAGGTCATGATCTCAGGGTTGTGAGATCAAGCCCTGCTGTCAGGCTCTGCACTGGGCATAGAGCCTACCCAAGATTCTCTTTCTTTCTTCCTCTGCCTCTTCCTCACTTCTCCCTCTTTTAAAAAGAAAAAAAAAAAAGTTTAAACAAAGAGCTCACACAGTTGAGATTCTAGTATAAAGGAACTAAATAGAGCCAATGTAATGTGAAATAGTTGAGATACTTAAATTGTTAATACTCACCATTTTCCTTAGATTTTCATCTAAATGAGGGATATTTCTGATTGTTTCAAGATGGTTTTCTAATCTTTCGATGAAAGTTACTGCCAATTCCAGTAAATGTACCATGTACCTGAAAGAGGGAGAAAAAAGTCAACTGTTTTTTTAAGTTATTTTGTGTTCTTTTTTATTTTTAATTTGGACTTTTAGTATAAGATAAGAGAATTACAATCAACCCAGTGAGCCAATAATAACCTTTCTGAATTCATGGAAATACCACTGATAAAAATGTCATTTTCCTTCACTTTAAGCAGAAATTAACTTGTCATCCAAAAAGAAAAATAGAGACAACACTAATAATATCTGGTGCCCAACCTAATATTAGACAAAATTTAATGTTAATAATTTTATCCCATAAGTAATTTCCCCAGATTAAATCTCATTACATTTCAATCTACTCATTCTCGAAGGGTGAAGACGGTAAGGATAAATGTACTTGACTGAAACTGCCTATAGCCAAAACCACTTTGAACCTTCGTATTTGCAAAATGCTTTAATATCATTACTCAGTTCTTCTGATATATAATGTATAATATATACATTAATGGTATTTTACTGTACTGAACAGATAACTGAATATCCCCACAAGAATGAGATTTTTATATTTATTCTTTTACTAAAAGATAAAATATCTGACACTTAAGAAAGGTACTGATTTGCTCAGGGTCAGCTAGTGAGGCATTGGTGGAGAAGGTTAGCAATCAGATCCCTAGATGTTTGCTTCTTTACTGTTCATTATTATACTTGTAATACTCATATAAGGAAAAGAGCAACAGAGTATGCCCATTCTATGGATTGGGAAACTAAGGCTAACAAACCATTTGCCTCAGGTTTTGAAGCCTACAAAAACCATTTACCTACACGAACCATTTGCTTAAGGTTTTGAAGCCTACAAAAAGCACAAATAAGTCTAGGACTCAGTCCTTTTCCCCCTTTAGCTGTCATTGTTTTCACCTCTCCCTACTTAAACTCCCTAAGAGAATTTTTACATATAGGCAACATTAACAGAACAGTAAGTTTACTTCATAAAAAATGGTCTGTATGTAATAAAATAATTTTTACCCATCTTACTATACATTATTGATCTACTTTCTTTCACTGAAGTCATTACATCATTCCAAAACACAGTTGGCAAAAGGAATGCCTTTCTCTTCACCACAGCTTAACTCTTTAAAAGCAAAAGATTTTCTTTCTGGTTTTATGTATCAGCATTAATAGTACTGTTAACAGACATAATCACTAATATATTGTTTAATGAATTATGCTATGAAATAACTACCAGTCTAAACAAAAAATACCCTTAGGAGACATGCGTAATCATTAACTTCTACTTTTTAATTTAACCTGTGATAAACAGCTTCAATAGGCAAGTTTTCCTCGCAAGTGGTTTTCAACAGTCTTTGCCTGAGGGACCTCTTCTCTTTTAACACTGCTTCCAAATGATTATTCATGCTTTGCAGAGTATGACACTTCTGAGCTATACAAACCAGAAACAGGAATTACAGTTAGCAATATGACAAGTTTTATTTTTATTTTTTAAAAATATTTCATTCATTTATTTATTTATTTATTCATGAGAGACACAGAGAGAGGCAGAGACATAGGCATAGGGAGAAGCAGGCTCCCTGCAGGGAGCCTGATGTGGGACTCAATCCCAGGACCCTGGGATTATGACTTGAGCCAAAGGCAGATGCTCACCCACTGAGCCACCCACACATCCCAACAATATGACAAGTTTTAAAATCACTAATAATTTCTTTTTGCTTTGATGTTACCAATGTCAAAAATTAATATATTTCTCTCCTAAATATCTGCCCTTTGCTATCTTTAATATCAAACCAGTTTACTTTCAACAATTTTCTTAGTTTGCCTGCTGACAACAAAATCCAGTGCTAAATTCTTTGCATTGTGAAACGCCAGGACACCTGCACCCCAATGTTTATAGCAGCAATGTCCACAATAGCCAAACTGTGGAAGGAGCCTCGTTATCCATCGAAAGATGAATGGATAAAGAAGATGTGGTCTATGTATACAATGGAATATTACTCAGCCATTAGAAATGACAAATACCCACCATTTGCTTCGATGTGGATGGACCTGGAGGGTATTATGCTGAGCGAAATAAGTCAATCGGAAAAGGACAAACATTATATGGTCTCATTCATTTGGGGAATATAAAAATTAGTGAAAGGGAATAAAGGGAAAGGAGAGAAAATGAGTAAAAATATCAGTGAGGGTGACAAAACATGAGAGACACCTAACTCTGGGAAATGAAAAAGGGATAGTGGAAGGGGAGGTGGGCAGGAGGTTAGGGTGACTGGGTGATGTGCACTGAGGGGGGCACTTGGCGGGATGAGCACGGGGTGTTATGGATAACCTTATATAAGCGCCAGGCAATAAAAACTCCAATTAAAAAAAAAAAAGTAAATTCTTTGCATTATTCAAGTCTACTCCTAGTTCAGTTTTTATAAGCCAGAGCCATATTCTTCACATAAAATCTATCTGCCTCTAACATTCTACATGGACATTAAAAAATAAGCATTTGGGGAACCCTGGGTGGCGCAGCAGTTTAGCGCCTGCCTTTGGCCCAGGGCGCAATCCTGGAGACCCGGGATTGAGTCCCACGTCGGGCTCCCGGTGCATGGAGCCTGCTTCTCCCTCTGCCTATGTCTCTGCCTCTCTCTCTCTCTCTCTCTCTCTCTCTGTGACTATCATAAATAAATAAAAAGAATTTAAAAAAAATAAGCATTTGTCTTACAAACTATTTCTGATCATTTTAATATTTTGCCCAGAATTCAGTTAATGGCTGCCAATTGCCACTTTTAAATTTTATTTTGAAAAAAATGTCAAACTTACAGAAAAGTTTCATTATATTCCCACATACATTTCACCTAAACTCACCAACTATTAACATTTAGCTACATTTTTATTTCTTGTTTCTCCACATACTCAATACATGTATTTTTGCTGACCCACTTAAGTTGTACATGACATGAAATTTTTACCCCTAAAACCTGAGCATGTATTTCCCTAAATAGGAAAATTCTTATGTAACTATATTACAAGTATCAAATTCATAAAATTTAAAATTGGTACAATACTACCAATATTTAATACAGTCCATATAAACACATCACCAAATAATTCAATAATGTCCCTTATAGCAAAATAAATTTCTGATCAAGTATTCAGTCCATGACCATACTATGCTTTGGCTATTGAGTCCCTTTAGTCTCCTTTAATCTGGAAAGTTTCTCAGCCCTTCTTGGTCTTTCAAGCTTTCCTGAATTTGAGGAGCTCCTACCTTGGTTACATTTTATGCTATTTGTACTAGTCAAATGAGTAAGACTTCTATTTGAGCACAGAATAGAAGACTTCATTAGCTTTGGGGCAATACCTGGAAAAATTACGGTATATCATAATTTTATTGCCTGGTGCTTATATAAGGTTATCCAAGAAAAAGTTGAAATTCCAATGATTACTATTTCATCAAACTACTTACCCAAAAAGAAAGGATGAACAACATCTGCTGTATCTTTTTCTAGTTTTAAAAGTTCAATTTCCAAGTTTTTCTACATTAATAAGAAAAATAACATTTAGTTCATGTAGAATGGTGCCTGAAGGCTTATACTTTAGTAAAAAAGGCATAGTCTTTAACCCAGGAATATTTGTGGGGAGGGAGAAGGATTTGTTATGATAGCCCAGGGGATTTACTGAACATTTTCATTTTGGTGTTCAAGCCCTATTGCTGCTACTGCTAACTACTACTATCACTTATAAGTAAACACTTAACTGGCTATGTGCTAGACAATGTTCTAAGTGCAAAAGAACTGCTATTGGAATCAACCAAGATTTTTTTTCCTGTACTAGAAAGTAAAAAGTCCAACATAATTTACCTGGTAGATTTCAGCTTGAATATTTGTGATCTGCTGTAGTCTGGAGAAGTTCACAAAGTAAGGAGCTGATTTCTTAGATATATTTAACATCTCCTATTGGCAAGTGAACAGAGAAAGCAGTAGTATGTCACAAAAAGTTTCTATGTGCACTGGAATAGCAAACCCACAGGCTTAAAACATGAGGATTTATTATGTCCAACACTGCCCCCCGGGGGGGGGAAGAAGTACAGAGTGTAACAGTAGCAATGTATATTTCCTGTTTGCAAAATACCATCTGGGCGCCTGAGTAGCTCAGTGGGTTAAGCATCTGATTCTCCGTTTCAGCTCAGGTCATGATCTTGGGGTCATGAGACTGAGCTCCACTTATGGGCTCCCTGCTCAGGAGTTAGCCTGGTATTCTTACCCTCTTCCTTTTACTCCCCTCCGCCCATCCCCTCTGTGCACCCATAGACACTCTTTTTCCCTCCCTCTCAAATAAATAAATCTTAAAAAAAAAAAAAAAAACCCTAAATATTCACTATCACAAATCCTTTGGCCAAATATTTAAAAAATAAGAAAAACAAAAAACACTTAATCACTGTGTTCTATTTCCTAAAGTACTATGCACAATATATTTACATTAGTGACAGCTTACCAGAGAAGGCTGGTAAGGTTAAGAAGGCCGAGGCTTAGATTGTTGGAGAATCACCTCTATACAAATCACCAAGACCTAGTCTCTGACTTTCTGAGGGCTAAAATCAAATAGTTTCCCACCATGGAATAATTTATCAGATTCATTAAATGATCTTTATTGGCTGCCTCTTTTCACATTCTCACTTTTTGTTTAAGATTTTATGTATTCATTAGAGACAGAGAGAAAGAGGCAGAGACACAGGCAGAGGGAGAAGCAGGCTCCATGCAGGGAGCCTGATGTGGGACTTGATCCCAGGACCCCTGGGATCACGATCGGAGCCAAAGGCAGACGCTCAACCACTGAGCCACACAGGTGCCCCACATTCTCACTCTCTTAAAGGAATCTTCTGTCCAGGTGGAATTCTTCTTCTAAAAAGCTTATGTCCTCCTTTTTATCCTTTCATTTCATGCAAAATATTGCTTGCATATATTGCCTCCTTAAATTGCAGATTGCTTCAGAATAAGAATATTGTTCATCCCCCGAGTCCATCCGTAATTTTCTCTGTATTCTTTTTTTCTTCTTCTTTTTTTAAGATTTATATATTTATTCATGAGAGACACAGAGAGAGAGAGGCAGAGACACAGGCAGAGGGAGAAGCAGGCTCTTCACAGGAGCCTGATGCGAGGACTCGATCCCGAATCCCGGGATCACAACTTGAGCCCGGGATCACAACTTGAGCCGAAGGCAGCCACCCAACCGCTGAGCCACCCAGGCGTCACTCTTTTCTTCTTTTCAAGAATATTAGCATATTTAGAGATCTTTACATATCTTATAGGAAAAGGGTTAGAAAATGATAGTCCATGAACTAAATGCACCCCACTCACTGCCTGTTTTTGTATAGGCCATAAGCTAAGAATGGTTTTTATATTTTTTAAATGTTGGGAAGAAAAAAATTAAAAGAAAAATAGTATTTTGTGACACATGAAAATTATATGAAATTCAAATTTCAGGATTCAGAATAAACTCAACTGCACCCATTTATTTACTTATTATCTCTGGCTTCTTTCACACTACACCAGATGCAATTATATGGACCTAAAAGCCTCAGAAACTTATTCTCTGGCCCTTAATAGTAAAAATTTGCTGACCAATGATAACACACTTTATTAGCATTTATTAAGTTAGGCAACTGAAGATTCAGGATGGATGGGAAGGAAAAGATATTCTAGTATTGATATATATGTGAAAAGAAAGGGAAGATGAATCTGAGAATGTAGTTTCCTACTTAATCATGAAAGATCTTGACAACTATGACAAGCAATTATAAAATGAGAAAATGAGAGTAATTCAAAGTTTTCTGGTGACGAGGTAACATGTTCATATATAATACATATTTTAGAAATTTAAAGAGGATAATATGGAAAATAGAACTTATGAGGCTGGGGGGGCAGTAAGGAAAGTAAGGAATAGAGTGACTACTTAATGGGTATGGGGTTTCCATCAGGTTGATAAAAAAAAGTTTTGAAAATAGATTCACAACATTGTGACTATACTTCATGCCACTGAATTATACACTGATGTTAAAATGGTAAATTTTATATTAGGAGTATTTTACCACAAAAAGACCTACCACTAAAAACCAAAAAAGCTAGGTGAGAGATGGAACTGAAGGTTGAATATTTAGACAAGCAGTTAGTATAGCATTCCAGGTGAGAAGATGAGAACGTGGACTAGGTCAGTAGCAGTTAAAAAGGAAAGGAAGACAGAGATGTGATTCCCTGGAGAGATGAAACTGAAAAATCTTGGTTGATATGGGATACCAGGGATAAAGTCAGTCAATATTGACTCCAAGGATCCTAGCTCCAGTGACTGGACAGATAGACATGCCATTCAATGAGGAATATAAGACAAAATACTTTACGGCAAAACTGAGGGTTGAAGGAGTAAAGTATTAGTTCAACTTCATTCCATAAATATATATCATGGCTTAAATGAGGACAAATCTAATTTACTGCATTTCCATCATATCAGCATAACCTTTACTCTTCTTTCTGCTTTCTCTTAGGTATAAGGTAAATGAAAGTAAAACATCTCCCATTTCTCACTGTAATTTACTCATTCTCTGGTATCTCTTCATCCTGCCCTGTATATACAATAATCTTAACTGCACACATGCAAACTAGTGAACTTCTGGGCTCAACAGCAGGGTAATGGAGCTTAGCCAACAATATGCAAGGGAAACCAATGGAAAAAGAAGAGTACTCACCGGAGAGCCAAAAGGAGAAAGGAAAAAGAGAGAGTTGTCAAGTTTCTCTAATAGAAATTCTAACTATTTGAGGACAGTGACTTAGCCCTATATCTTATTTAAAAAAAGGGGGGGGGGGCAAGGATTGGGGAATACAGAAAAGTCTTTACTGTTGATCATTGCCATTTTATATTATATGCTTTATATGCCAGTAGGGTAAAGGGACACTGAAAATGAAAGGATCCTGAAAAAGGGAATCTGCTTGAGGCATTTCTGTTCATTCTGTTGCTAGGCACAAGAAGCTGAAATCCAGGACTTTATGTGTAATATAAAAATCCTGATAACACTGCGTGTACATAATATATACATATAAACTTGTGTCTGTGGACATCCCTTCTTTTTCGTTCTTTCCACTTCATACTGAATTCTAGCTGAGGAACATTAAAAGGGAGGCAGTGTAGCAGAGAAGTTAAGAGCAGTAAAAATGAGGGAAAGGATACAGAGAAGGGCAGGAAACACAGAAAATAAGATATATATATATATATATATATATATATATATAAGTTTATAAACATACATATATACAAATAACATATATAGATATATGTCTATCTGTATCTCTATATAGTATAACTGTATGTATTCAATCAAGTTACCATACTGATTAAAGCTTGCCAGAAAAATCCAAAAGGTTTAAGGCCACTAACATGGTCCTAGAGTATGAACAAAAACAACTTTATCCTACAGAGAGTTACCTATACCTTTCTTTCACTAAATCATTCTCCAATGGATAGATCAAAAGAAGAAAGCTCAAATAAGCTATGTTTTCTGGAAGAGTTTTTCATATCACAATTTTAAGCATCACTTGATTTCTTTTTTTTATTTTTTTATTTTTATTTATTTATGATAGTCACAGAGAGAGAGAGAGAGAGAGAGAGAGAGAGAGAGAGAGGCAGAGACATAGGCAGAGGGAGAAGCAGGCTCCATGCATTGGGAGCCCGACGTGGGATTCGATCCCTGGTCTCCAGGATCGTGCCCTGGGCCAAAGGCAGGCGCTAAACCGCTGTGCCACCCAGGGATCCCCGCATCACTTGATTTCTAATGCACGTGGGATGATGTACACTTAAGGGATCTTAACATTAAACATTAAAACTTAACATTAACATTAACATTAAAACTTAAAGAGATCATATAACATTTTGAAAGAACCAATGCTAAATCCTTCTAATAATACGTTTTCATATGCAATATTTGCTTAAAGTAAAATCATAGTACAAATCTGTAAAGTGTCCTCATTGGGACTAGTTGTGTAATAAGATTTTAAGATGGTCTAAAAGAGCTATGGACTGGCAGATCTCACCAGTATGCAAAACAGGTAACTGTCTAATTAGTGCTACTTGAAGGACAGTAGGAAAATCTTCTCCAAAACTTCTACCCCAACAAACAGCTGACTTATCAATGCCTAAAATTCTCTTAGGTGTTTAACCAATACACTCTAGAGGGTAAAGCCCCAAATGTCTTACAGTATGAGCTTACCAAATTACTTTGTTACAGAACTAAACAATGCAAGTGACAATATCAGGCCACTTGGTAGGAAGAAAACACAGGAGAGGAAGGTAAGAACTGGGGAGTGCTGTAGTTCTCTTTTGCCTATTTTCCAATGCATTCATCTGTACCTCCTTTCCCCTCCAAAATTCAAAAGATCTGGTTACTACAATCTCAAGTAATCTATAAGAATTCTTCAACAGAAGTTTAAACTCTTTCAACATAGTGTCACAGTATCATTTATCACAGTTCATCTTAGAGACGATACAATGTGTCAGAAGAGGGAGCGCTCTGTGATCTATTTCACTAGTTAAGTGACCTTGCCTAAATTTCTTGGGTCTCCTTAGACCTTAGTTGTTGTTGTTTCTCCTCCTCCTCCTTTCTTCTTCTTCTTCTAGATTTATTTATTTATTTATTTATTTATTTGAGAGAGAGAGAGAGAGAGAGAGAGCAAGCGACAGCAAGCAAGCACGGAGGAGGAGGGGCAGAGGGAGAGGAGAGAGAATCCTAAAGTAGTCTCCCCACTCAGCATGGAGCCACCAGTAGGGCTCCATCCCAGGACCCTGAGATCAGGACCTGAGCAGAAATCAAGAGTGAGAGGCTTAACCACCTGAGCCACCTAAGCGCCCTTTTAGTTTATCTTAAAAATAGGCACTGTAGGGTAAGGGCACGTGGGTGATTCCTTGGGTTAAGCCACTCTTGATCTCACCTCAGGTCCTAATCTCAGGGCTGTGGCAGGGAGCCCCATTTCCTACTCAGCTAAGAGAGGAGTTTGTTTGAAATTCTTTCCTTCTGCCTCTCCTCCCCTCTTTCTAATAATAAACCTTAAAAAAAAAGTGTAAGGTACAAGACTCTAATGACTCTTCTAAGTATACAAAGTTGTGTATTTTCCATAAATCTTCCATCATGTTCATACTGTTAATCCCTGCAGATGATTTTACCTTCCTACTTTCCAGTTTCTTTCAGCGAAAATCCTCAACTTGCTCGTTATCTCAAAATTTCTTTCCCTTAACCTCACTTTTCCCATTCCCTTGTCACTTCGGCCACTTGGATTCCATTATTGCTTCACATATTTAATTTCTCCCTCCACTGGCTCGTTTCCTTTGGCACATGAGCATGTTCTTCTTGTGGAACCTAAAACTACCACCGCTTGGGCTAATCTGCCTCTTCTCTTCTAATTACTCCCCTCCTCCATTCACGTTCCAAGGTCTTTCGGGTCTTTGCCGCCATTTTTTTTCATTCTTTTTTTTTTTTTTTTTTGCCTATTAACGTCGCGTGCTTTTCCTGACCCTCTCATGTACCCAGCGTCTCCCGCCCCGAATACGCTTCAGTGCCTCACACAAACAGGCTTGTTTGAGAATGTTTGTGTTTTAATTACTTACCCCTATTTCCCAACCCCAGCACCCATTACAATATAGAGGCGGTATCATCGGGTGCGAAAAAGCGGGAGGAAGATGGATCTTTATTATCTCTCACGAACTGACCGGATAACTCGCTCGCAGACACTCAAAACATCCTCTCTCCGGCAGCCCAGGTGGCTCAGCGGTTTAGCGCCGCCTTCAGCCCAGGGCGTGATCCTGGAGTCCTGGGATCGAGTTCCACGTCGGGCTCCCTGCAGGGAGCCTGCTCCTCCCTCTCTCTCTCTGTGTCCCTCATGAATAAATAAATAAATCTTTTTAAAAAAATCCTCTCTCTACAAGAACCCGCTTTCGCACAACCACGGCAGAACCGTCACTACTGTTGCCTGGAAGAGGCTCCATCGGCCTCTACCACGGCACAGCCGCCACCCAGCACCCTCGCACACACGCCCGCTGCCCGGCACCACCACCTCACGGCGATCTTCTGTCGCCACCGTCGGCACCCCCTTAATGACGCCATCGCCGCCCACGCACCTGAGTGACCATCCCCGACGCTACGAAATGGCTCAGCAGAAGCCCGGCAGCACTTGGCTCGGACGCGGGGTCCCAGGGGTTCGCGGCGGCCATGGCTGGGACCCAAGTCCCGGGCGGGCGCCGAGAGTGATAGATGATAGATAGGCGGACGCGCCGCGCGGATAGATGACGTCACAGGGCGTTTCTTCCCGGGCGGAAGCCCGGGGAGCGCATCCCGGGGGAGCGCGGGCCGTGGGTCTTCTCCAGCTAAGCCGGCTGTGAGCTGAGGGGTAGAAGATGAGTCCGGAGCTCCCTGATCATTCGTAGGCTCCAGCGGCGTCCAGCCTCGGAACACCTGCAAAAGCTGCTGGGCCTGGTGGTCGCGCCGTTCTCCCCTTTCTTCTTTGCCACTTTTAGTTGGCCCCCAAGATCTAGGAGTCGGCAGGAGGTGACAGCTTGGGCACGAGACCCAGCCGAGAGGCGGAGGGGGTGGCCGGATGCCTGGCTGAGCCGTGACAGCTGCGCTTCCTTCCTGCAGGGACCTGAGCCGCGGCCCTAGGATGGGAAACAGTGCCCTCCGCGCTCATGTGGAAACCGCGCAGAAAACTGGTGTCTTTCAGCTGAAGGACCGTGGGCTGACCGAGGTGAGACCGGGAGGGGACCGACCAGGGAAATTAAAGGGAGAGGGACGGCGGGGTGGTGAAGTTAACCGGTGAGGAATTCTCCGCACTCTGAACCCCTTTCTCCAGTTCCCCCCCGAGTTGCAGAAGCTGACCAGCAATCTAAGGACCATCGACTTGTCCAACAACAAGATCGAGAGCCTACCGCCTGTGATTATAGGGAAGTTCACTCTGCTGAAGAGCCTCTCCTTGAACAACAACAAACTCAGTATGGCTTTTGCACTTGGGAAGCTTTTGCTAGTGATCAGCTGTTAAGAAGGGTGGTTTTCTCTTACAAGCTTGTTTTTGTTATGAAACTGTTTTGAGGGCAGCCCGGGTGGTGCAGCGGTTTAGCGCGGCCTTCAGCACAGGGCGTGATCCTGGAGTCCCGGGATCGAGTCCCACGTCGGGCTCCCTGCATGGAACCTGCTTCTCCCTCTGCCTCTCTGTCTCTCTGTCTCTCTCTGTGTGTCTCTCATGAATAAATAAATAAAATCTAAAAAAAAAAAAAGAAACTTTTGAGAGCTCAAGATGCAGGAGGATGTCAGAGTCCTTGAAGCTACCTTGTAATTACACCTACATGCTTCCTCTGGTGGTATGATTGGTACTGGTTTAATTTGGACTTGAAAGGGAAGACCATCTTTGGGATGTAGTGTACAGCCAGCGAACTTAGGAGATGGAATGGGAAGGGGAGGGCCTAACAAATCCCGCAAAATTGCTCTCGGATTCTGCCGAGGTCCTTTTACAAAAGGAGCCCAATATATACATAAGTGCTTTCCTGTATTTTGACAGCACCCACATTTCCTGAAGACTATGTTGGTAAAATGCAATAGTTATAAATGGCACATGTGAGAATTTTATATGTATTGATAGGAGGCTTATCATGTAGCCATGTAGTTTTTTCTAAACTTAAAGGTGTTTCTCAGCTGTATCAGATTCAGGTTTTTATTTCTCTTTGCCAGCTCTTCTTCCCGAGGAGTTATGCAATCTGAAAAAACTAGAGATGCTAAGCTTAAACAACAATCACTTGAGAGAGCTACCATCTACCTTTGGGCAGCTGGCAGCCCTCAAGACCCTGAGCCTCTCTGGGAACCAGCTGCAAGCACTACCACCACAACTCTGTAGCCTAAGACACCTGGATGTGGTGGATCTCTCCAAGAATCAGATTCGGAGCATACCTGACACAGTGGGGGAGCTGCAGGTCATCGAACTCAATCTCAACCAGAACCAGGTCTAGAGTTTAAGGGATTTTTTTTCCCCTGCATCACCTGGGTTTAGTCTCCTGTATAATACTTTTCTAAACCATAACCATGGAGCTGGGTATCAGAGGCTAGATGAGCGGTACATTCTATGGGTTGGACTAATTTCCAAGCTCAAAGGGCCATTAGTTGAGATACTGGGTGTGTGTGTATCGTGTAGGTGTTTTTAGGAGAGTGGGATGGATAATGGGGTGAGATAATTTCAAAAGTTAAACTGTCTCACAAATCTTGAAGAATTCAGATCCTCCTCAAATATGCCTCTAGTCATCTAGCAAGGAGCTGTCAGGTAGAGTGGAAAAGAGGCTTTAACTCCTAAGTTCTTGGAGTTGGACAGAATAATTTATTGTCCCTTTTTTGACATCTTTGTCAAGTGTGTCCTGCTTTTACTGAAAATTTTTAAGTGACAGGCTTTCTGGCAATAGCCTGTTTCATTGTTGGACAGCTTTAATTGAAATATTTGAAATTTGTTTCCATTACTTTGGAAACTCCTTGCTTAATATGTATCCGACTGGAGAAATCATCTAGACATAAGGCTTAAATGATTAAACATAAAACAGACTAGGTGACCTTTAGCGCCTATGGATTTGTATTTGCATAGTCTAATACAATAGCCATACATTGCTGTTCAAATTCATTTAAGTTCGATTTTTTAAAAAAGAGTTTAAGGGAGGTGAGTGAGAGAGGGAGAGCACAAGGTGGGGTGCGGGGGAAGGTCAGGAGAAGCAGAAAGAAGTGGGAGGATGGTAGTCAAATCCAATAAGGAATGAGGACAGTGAATCTTTGACTTTGGCAGTATAATGGTATCAACGTACACATAAAAGATTGGCAGTAAATGCACCAAAATGTTCACGGTGGCAGATTAGAGGTAACTTTTTTCTTTAAACTTATGTGATTCTCAAATTTTCTATAATAGTGCTTTTATTAGAACACTTTTGTTTCTAAAAAGCCACTGGTGACCTTCAAACAGCATCTTTTTCCAAACAGTGGAGGAGGAATAACAGAAGCCAGATAACACAGGCTTTGGGAATGAGTAGGTAGTGAGAAAATGGAGGCGGTAAAAGCAAGAACTAGGACAAATGGTCAAGTTTTTGTTTTAATTTAGTAAAAAAAATAAAAAATCAAATCATAATCGCACTTTTGCTTTTTCCTATGATTCTTTTTTGTTGTCATTCAATAGATATCTCAGATCTCAGTAAAGATATCTTGCTGTCCTCGCCTTAAAGTTCTTCGCTTGGAAGAGAATTGTCTTGAGCTCAGCATGCTTCCACAGAGTATCCTCAGTGATTCCCAGATCTGTCTGCTTGCTGTGGAAGGCAACCTTTTTGAAATAAAGAAACTTCGAGAACTGGAAGGATATGATAAGGTATGTATTAGTGTACTTCATCACTATTCCAGAAGTGACAACAGTGAAATAACCTACATGAACATTGATAGCTGTAGGACATATGCATAATCCTGTTTATGTCAACAGATTTGTTCCCCATTTTGGAGGTGGAGTCTAAGAATTAGCCAAATGGTATTGTGCCAAGATAACTTTTTCTCCAGATAGCTTATTGTAAAGCATCTTTGTCTTTTGATGGGTATCCTATTAAAATACAAGGGGGAAAAAAACCCTAAACTATATGCTTTAAATTTGCAGTTAGGTCAATTTTGTAGGAAATGAAAAAGACCATACCCAATAAAAACCTAAATGAAAAAAAATCACAAAATCCTAATTTAAAAACAGGCTAATATTTGCTTGTGCCAAAATACCACATATTCTTCTTTCATGATTTTTTAGTACATGGAGAGGTTCACGGCCACTAAGAAGAAGTTTGCATGATGTTCTCCAGGAACATGGAAACCTTACAGGATACCAACATGGAATCTGTTGCAATCTGGCTGAATCAGAGGCTCCTGTTGTCAAGGATTATCTGCAGTAAGGAGATGATACTTCTGAAGATAATCATTTCAGTGATCTTTTTCCTTTCCAGGGCTCATCTTAAGTAAGCTAAAAGAAATCAAGAGATAGTAAGAGTCCTCCATTTTAAGTCATGGATAGGGTAAAGGACAATGTTGATCATCAAAACCATCCTAAGTCTGGCTTGAAGAAAAGCAGTAGCTGTTTATACAATGAGGGGATGCTGCTTGGTAACAGAATCACTCCATATCACAGCTCGAAATTTCATGTTTAGTTTCAGTGTATGAGCTTTCATAAAGTCAGTTGCCATTCCACTTGTGTTAACATTTCATATTTTTATGAAATTTAAATAATTTGTGAGAGGACTTATGATTTTATTTCAGTTCATCATTTAATTGCAGTGTTTATACTTGGAATTTATAATGTATATAAGTATGTGACTGTCTCAATTAAAAGTATATTCTGTCAGAGAAGCACCAACACAACACTAAGAGATGTTCCCCAAGGCTGCAGTAGCAAACTTTTTACTATTGCATGTGCCTTATTAGTAGAGGGCTCTGAAGAGCTAAAACTATATATGCAAAACTTGTAAAATACAAAGGGTTTTAATAATCAAGATTTTCCTGAAGCTTTGTTAGAAATAATGTATTTCTGGTAATCCTTTTCCCTTTTTATAATTCTACTAATCGAATTACCTATCAAAAAACTGCTACAATATTCTAAAATAACTTATGTTTATAAAATTTATTCTCTGGATGAGAGAATATACTAAATAAAGAATTTTTAATGAACTTCGGCTGGAAAAAGGGTTAATCCTTCAAAGGGAGAAGACAGGAGAACTTTAACCTGTATGTGGCCCTTTGTTTGAAAGTAAACTGATTAGAGAAATGTTTCATGTTCCTGTTAAGGTGCTAGAGTACTGAAATGCCTTCATGTGACCGATAAGCATTTTGCAGTATTGGAACGATACTAATTAAGAGAAACTAATACAAAGATACATGACCTCAGGTTGTTACTGACATGAACATTTAGGGAACTACCACTCTAATGTTCTGAGGTTTGTCTTTGCCAGGGCAATTTAGCATGTATTGTCAGTTCTTGTTTTATAAACCTAGTTTAACCATTAAGTCAATAGATCACAGCTTAGTATTTAATCTATATGAGGAAGTTTCTCTGACTTTAAATCTGATCTGAGTATTCTCTATTTCCCATGTTATTTTCTGTTCTCAACATTGGGAGGGTTGGGTTGCCAGTTTATTGTTAGCAACTGAGTTTTGCTTTTTGTAAACATCAGTGCTTAATCTCTAATTTTTAAATCAGTGCTTAACATCTAATAAATCAGAAGTTTAAATTAAACAACTTAAATGTCCCCAGACATTTATTAATTGGAGTCAAAAAAAAAAAGTCCCCCATCTCTAAGAATCAGTGACTGCTTTCACAACTTGGACTTATCCTTATTTCCAGTACCCTTTATTCACTCTCATTTTCCTGCCCAGTCACAGTGTTATTCTGCTCTTTAAACCCACAGTGCATTGTCTCCCCTGTAACTGCCTTTACATTGTTTGCTCAGTCAGGAATACCCTCTCCCTAATGTGCTCCTTCTATCTAAAACCCATTTTAAGTCTAAGCCAAATTAATTGCTCTCCCATCTGTTATGACAGCACTTCTCACATTCTATATTCATCTGTCTCTTGCTAGAATGAGCTACTTGTGGGCAGGAACTATGTAAAGTAACATACCCAGATTTCTTTCTTTCTTTTTTTTTTAAGATTTTATTTATTTGTGAGAGACACACACAGAGAGAGGCAGAGACACAGACAGAGGGAGAAGCAGGCTCCATGCAGGGAGCCTGACATGGGACTCAATCCCGGGTCTCCAGGATCAGGTCCTGGGCGGAAGGTGGCGCTAAACTATTGAGCCACCCAGGCTGCCCCATACCCAGATTTCTAATGCACAAGTATTTAGACTTACCTACGAGCTAACATAATGAAGTTGGTTAACCTGTGTGTGGTTTGGAGACCCATATTCTAGTTTGGCCACCAGCCCTAAGTCATCCACATTCTTTTAGAGTTTGGTTGGAAGTGAGTGTAGTATTTTAAGACCATGGGCCTTGGACTCAAAAATATCTTGGTTTGAATCCACAATCTGTCATTTATGAATTTGAGCAATTGCTTCTCATCTGTAATATGGCAAAGACCTCCAACCTCTCCGGTCTGTTAGGATGATATGGTAAAAAGATACATAAAGGCACTTAGCAGAGTGCCCATAATAGAGTAAGCAATCAGTAAATGGTGCCATTTATTTAATCTGTAAGGCGTTAAAACAGAAGTTAGCAAGTTGTACAGAAACAGAAGGCTTGAAGCAAATACTACATTTAAAAGGATGAAAACAAAGAACTAGAGAATAAGGAACTTGAGTATCAATCTGAGAAATGCAAATCTGATTAGGAATATAATTGGAATAACCTAGAATTTTGTTGAGTGACCTAAAGAAAATAACATTAAAAACACTAATAAAGTACAACTGAGTATAGAATGTCTGGATTAAGAGATTTATAATTCAAACATGACAGGAAAAGACCTAGAGTTGAAGTGTGGTATAAAAGATGAAGGAAAAAAAAAAAGATGAAGGAAGTGTGAAGGAAGAAAGAAACAGGCATAACTATTGGGGATAAATATCATCATTGTTAAGACGAAACCTGAAAGTGCTTATTGTTTAAAAAAAAAATTAAATTTGGGGGCATACTATTTTTGAACTCTTTAGTTACAGGTCAAAGTTATGTGAAGGTCACACAACAAGTAAATGACTAAAGCAAAATTTGAAAGTAGGTGGTCAGACTCTAGAGCTTGTGTTAACCACTTTCAGGTACTACCTTTCAAAAGTAATGGAATCAAGTTTCTAGATAGCGTTACAGGAGAAAATCAGAAAAGCCTTAAGTCAACAGCTTCTCTTTCTAGCATATTATGGGCCTAATTTCTAAGGCCTCATCCCTCTTCTTTCTCAGTAGCAAAAGGTTTGGAAGAGTTTGTAACCTGGGATCCAAAGATGGGCTTTCAAGACCTTTTTTTTTTTTTTTAAGATTTTACTTATTTATTCATGAAAGACACAGAGGCAGAGACATAGGCAAAGGGAGAAGCAGGCTCCATGCGGGGAGCCGGACGTGGGACTTGATCCTGGGCTGGGACTCCACGATCACGCCCTGGACCAAAGGCAAACTCTAAACCACTGAACCACCCAGGCGTCCCTTTTAAGACCCATTGATGCATGATTCTTACTTATGCATGATTCAAGTTTTTGTTTATCTACTTCTTTGGGGAGATAGGCCATGTTGTCTTTCATCAAATCCACAAAGAGATTCCTGACCCAAAAAGAGCTCCACCCAAGAGAGAACAGTAACTATATTAAGCTCTTATATTTGTTGGGTGCTGCTCTCAGTCCTTTACATGCGTCACCACACTGACTTTTTTTTTTTTTAAGATTTTATTTATTTATTCATGAGAGACACAGAGAGAGAAAGAGGGAGAGACACAGGCAGAGGGAGAGGCAGGCTCCATGCAGGGAGCCCAATGTGGGACTCGATCCCGGGTCTCCAGGACCTATGACCCGGGCTGAAGGCAGTGCTACTGGGCTACTGGGGCTGCCCCACACTTACTTTTTGTGACAACTCTATGGAGGAGGAATATTAATCCTCATCTATAGACAAGGAAACTGAGGCACAGAAATGGGCTTACAGTCTCAGTAAGTGGCAGAGTATAAATTCAGACAGTTGAGTGCCTTAGCTTACACTTCTAACCAATTATATTGTGGGGGCAGCATTTTGGTATCCTCTGAACTATTGTCTTTAGCCGTAACGTAAGAAAAATTTTGGGGGGGTGGGGGACGCCTGGGTGGCTTAGCGGTTGAGTGCCTGCCTTCGTCTTGGGGTGTGGTCCCAGAACCCCAAGATCGAGTCCCACATTGGGCTCCCTGCATGGAGCCTGCCTCTCCCTTTGCCTGTGTCTCAGCCTCTCTCCGTGTCTCTCATGAATAAAAAAATAAAATCTTAAAAAAAAATTTTTTTAATGTTCTATGGGCATTTATGTATACCACAATCCCCAATGTTTTATACTTTCTTACTTTACATATACCATTACCTGCCAAACTACTGCTTTTGGCATTGAGCATTTCTTTTTTTTTTTTTTTAAGATTTTATTTATTCATGAGACACACAGAGAGAGGGGGCTGGGCAGAGACACAGGCAGAGGGAGAAGCAGGTTCCATGCTGGGAGCCTGACATGGGACTTGATCCCAGGTCTCCAGGATCAGGCCCTGGGCTAAAGGCAACACTAAACTGCTGAGCTACCTGGGCTGCTGCCCATGACATGGAGCATTTCTATTCCAGAGGGCCTGAATGAATCTCACTCTAAATATTTTCCTCTTCAGCCTATGAAAGTCCTCATGTTAACAGTAGCTTCAGTAGATGGGTTGTAGTTGTTGCTCATAAACATCCTTTCAATCATTAGTGTATTAAAGCTCAAATGAATAAGAGACTCAGAATAATTAAAATGAACCTCATAACAAATTGTAGGAAAAGTCCTGTCAGTATTTCCAATAAAAAATGGGAAAGGTGCCAAAGACAGCTTTCCATCAGAGTGCTTCTTGATTTATGGACCTTTGCTTCATTCAATTTGTAACGAGCTAGTGAAATTGTTCACCTTCCCCTGGTTCCCACCAAATAGTAAAAAAAAAAAAAAAAAACCCCACATTACCTATTTGAAAGAACAATTCCATTAGTTAGTTATAAAATTTAATTGTAAAGATCAAGCAGTGGTTATTGGTCAAACCAATCCACATTAATAGCTTTGAAGTATGCAGACACTAGTTCTTAAATAAAGGTGACAAATATCAAACAGATTCTTCTAACACTGTTCAAGATCTAAATAAATGTGATTCTGGACATAATTCAATCCACAAGGCTAACTGAATGATAGTGCAGTCATTAATAATTAAACCAAAGGCATAATTTTCCAAATCACTTTTTAGTTAAACAATAAATTCTAGTTTTAAAGTCTAAAGCTACAAAAAAATTCAAAGAAATCTAACTATTTTTCTACCTGAGATCAAAACAAGTTTCTTTTATCCTATCTAAACATAATTCTTAAAAAAAAAACAAACATAATTCTTGGCTTTGAGGTAAATCTGAATTCACGTGATATACTTTGTCAAACTTTTCCAAAAAAATTTAAGCCCTGCTTTAGAGAGAAATTCTCATGTTACACATACATATTTACATATTTTTTTTCTTCAAAGACTAATGACAAATTTATGAGGTTAACAAGCATGTAATGGGACCATGATACTAATAATGTGAAAATAAAAAGCCATTCATTTATACAAAGTGTTCTTGTAAGGTGCAATATGAAATGGGATCACTATGTACATACACAAATCACCAAAAGTTCAGCAACTAAGCTCACTTTGAAAAAATTCTATTTTTTTGGAGCAAAGGTTACCAAGTTGTGATGTATAACAAAAATATTGTGTATAAAAGCTCCGTTACCAAGGATTAGCCTAAACTGGCAATAATTGCAGCTTAAATTAAAAATTAAACCCAGCTAGATCTTTACTGTGGCTATGCAATTTTTGCTTTGTGGCATGCACGTTTTACTGAGGTAACAACGTCTTATCTCTTGCCTCTCCTCCTTATGCTCCCCTTGCCCCCAGTTTCCTTCTTCATGGCTGTCTTTGGCAATGCTTCCAAATCTTGAAAGCAAAAGAACCTGCTAAAGTAAATGAGAAGGATGAAAAATAACACGATATAAGATGTATAAAAACCAATCTAAAACTACGAATCAAGGGAAAAAAAATATACAAGGACAGCCGAGCAGTAGTATACCCTCAAAGGAAAGAGAACATTAAAAAAAAAAAAAAAAATAGGGGATCTGTACTCCTGGCCCTTCTTGCACATTATCTCCTGATTTAGAAGAGCATGGAACCAAAACGTCAAACTCTGAAAAGGTAATGGCTTTGAAGGAGGAGCTAGAGAAGTGAATACATGATAAAGAAGTACAGCAGCAGCTTTAGCTGTCAATGAGTTTCTTTGCTCTGGCATTGGCAATATCAATACGATCTTTGTTGGTGTCAGCCTGAAAAAAAGAAAAATATATCAGCATTATGTTACAAGGTAAGCTGCTCTAATAAAAGTTAAATTTCATACACTTGGAGTAACTGACACACTGAGAAAATTCAGGAAACACAAAGTCACAAAATTCATTTTGGGCAAGAAGAAACAGAACATGAAATTCATTTGGGAAAACTGGGTATATAAACATAACAAAAATATAACAGAAGAACTTGACTGTATTTCATGAATTCTGTAACATTTTTTCATAGTTTAACTGGGATGTATGTTATAATCAATGGCATTTTTGATGCAGTGAAATTAAGAATGCTTTTTGTTACAGATTTGAACACTGTGGAAATCTTCCTGAACTGAATCACAGAATCTTATCTGAGACTACTCTAGGTCTAACCCAGAGAATCTGAAAGAACATTCTTCAAGATTTTTTAATAGATACATTACCACCTGCATCAATATCTGAATTTAAAAGATGGGTAATATATAAACCCACAAGACAGCTTTGAAAGCACCTTATGAACCACTCTTTGCCTCAATGAAATACACTGTTAAGTAATTCAACAGAACTAAGTTTAAAAACTCACCCCATCCTTTAAAGCACACTGAGGTTTTTAATGAAATAACAATAACAAGAATGGCTTTTAGGCACAACACATCCAAAAAGCGAACATAATTTCACTTTTGGTATCTTTTATATCATGTGAAATAAAATTAAAAAAAAAGACAATTCCATTTTTCCTTTACTCATAGGACCCTGTTTTGTGTGTCCACTCCACAAGAACCATTGTGTAGAACTGATTTTCACTTACTGATTTATGAGATGAGGATTTAGGAACTTACATAGCCCTCCCAAAGGTCAGAGTAGACTGTAAGCTTCATATGTGAAATTTTAAATAAAACCACTTCATTCTAAGGTCTTGCTTTCAAAATGAACAGACTGCCATGAGCAAAAGATAGGAGGACCTAGCTGTAATTTTTCAATGTGTTAGAATTGCCACCTCATCAAAAGTATAAGACCTGTACGGACAGGATCATCTCTTATTGTTCTCCCCCCAAAATATCAAGCACAGATGTACGTTACTGAAATATGGTGGGTATCTCAAATTCCTTTGGCATGAAGGAGCATTTACCTTTTCTGTGATCCGGTCTATTTTTCGATTTTGAGCCTCGATCTCATTGCCCATTTCCAGGGCCATGTTTTTTAGGTTTCCTAGGATACTGCCCACTTGAGTCAGGTTCTCTTCCATCTCATCTTCTCTAGCATCATTAGTTATACTGTCACAAAAAATACAGTAAATTCAGTACTTTTGGTGAATTATAAACAGACTAAATCTGGATTTAGTTTTTATATAAATAACCAAAATGACCTCAGCAAGCATTGGACCCACAGCAATGCAGGTTACCATTCTTGAAAAACATCCTGTGGTAGAAACTGAAAAGAATAACCAAAGAGAACAAAATGTCTTAAAGCCATATAGGAGAAGAAACAACTCTAGAACAATGGTTCTCAAAGAGTGATCACAATATAACCTGGGAACTTATTAGACACGAAAACATGCTAATTCTCACTCTCTACTACAGATCTACTGAATCAGAAACTGGAAGTGGATCCCAGCATTCAATGTTTAAAAAAACCCCCAAGTGACTCATGCACCTTAAGTCTAAAGTATCACTGCTGTAAAACAGGCTGTAAAATTGTGGCTCAAAGGCAAAAACTGGCCTTCCACCTGATTCTGTAAATAAGGTTTTACTTAAATACAGCCATGCTCATTTGCTTACGTATTGTTTATTGCTGCTTTCACCATAAATCAGAGTTGAGTAGTTGGCAACAGAGACCAGGCTGCAGTCTAAAATATTTACCGTCTAGCCCTTTACTGTTATCCTTATAGGTATCTAGCCAATCCCTAACTCTAGATTTTTTTCTTTTGGTGGTGGGGGGGGTGGGTGCCAGCATGGAGCCCAACACGGGGCTTGAACTCATGACCCTGAGATCAAAACCTGAGCTGCGATCAAGAGATGCCTAACTCACTGAGCCACCCAGGCACTCCTATATGATACATTATTTTTTTTATTTATGAATTTATTCATGAGAGACACACACAGAGAGAGAGAGAGAGAGAGAGAGAGAGAGAGAGGCAGAGACATAGGCAGAGGAAGAAGCAGGCTCCATGCAGGAAACCCGATGCGGGACTTGATCCCAAGACTCCAAGATCACGTCCTGGGCCAAAGGCAGATGCTCTAATGCTGAGCCACCCAGGCATCTCATACATGATACATTTTAAAACACATTTTCCTATTTATAGAAGTAAAACATGCTTACTTGGGTAATTTTGAAAGTACTGAAAAATATAAAGAAACATTAATCCATCAATGGAAGTCAATAACCACAGTCAACATTTTGTTAGAAGGCAGATTTTAAAATGCATTTTCAAATGGAATAAACACTATTTCTAATTGATGAGTTAGGGTTCGTGTATAACAACACCCACCCTCCTGAGCCATTCATTTAGGAAAGGGGTAAAAAACATCAGGAGGAGCTGGCATACCGTTTAATGTATCCACCGCTAGCTGCTCCAGTGGCTGGTTGTTGAGGCTGCCCATTTGTCACTCGGCCCGGCTGCTTAGATACTACATTACTAGGAGAGTTGTCTTCACCATCTCCCCATGTTGCCTTGTAGGCCTTACCGGACTCAAAGTTCTTTGTCCTATATAAGAGTCAGGAGTGTAGAAAGATATGGAAAAGCAAGAGGGAAAAATTGTAATTATTAGTTCTTTTTACCTAGAGGATGACCCTAGCAACCTTAGCATAAAAGCTACCTACAGCTAGATCTAGATTAGCTATACTATGCTCTGTTGCAATACAATATATGGAAAAAAATGAATTGTGTAAGCCCAATGACATTAAAAATTCTTTTAAAGGTTCAACTATTTCCATGAAATGTTCACTAAGTAGTTAGCAAGTAGTGAACTGCAATTATCTGATTGTCCAGGTTCCCCTAGTCTTTGACAGTCTTCAGAAAAGGAAACAGTGGAAAAAATTCCTCAGGAAAGGTGTTCCGTGATGCCTGATGAGGTTCCTGGAGAGATCTCACAAGTTGATGAGGGATGAAAGAGAAAAAAGGCTGAGTACGCAACACTCAGATCCCAGGTGCTCATTTATTTGAACCAGAGTAGATCCAGCTGATTCAGTTTTTAAAGTTAGAATTTTGCATTAAATTAAAAAACAAACATCATGAAGGAAAGGCATAAGAATTATTTCCAAATTGAACAGCCAATGATAACTATCTGAGACACTCTGGCACCAGTTATAAATTCTTTGATTTAGGGCTTCTTCATTTAAGAGTTTACTTTTCCTCCTTTTAAAAAAATGATCCTAAATCCAGACCTTTTAAAAATAAAAACATATACTTTAGGTGTTACTGATATAGACAAAACCAGAGCTTAACATAGGGATTTACCATTCAAACTGGTAATAATGGCAAGGGGTGGGGGGAGGCCTTGTGAAGCAACTTTTAAATGACTGTTACAAAAAAAATAACACAAAACTTTTTTACTGATTATTTGGCTAGGTACATTTTTCACTTACACAATTTTAATTTTTTACTTTTCTGTAAACAAAAAGTATATAGCTATAATATTGGTCTCTGATTTATTCCACATAATATGTTAATGAGGAAGTTTCCAAACTGCAAAAACAGAGGAAAGATTTTTATGAAAACGCTAGCTCCTTTCTTAATAGACATAAGGATTCCTTTTTAGCAAACCAATAATCAGATCTTAAACCTTAATCAGATTACAGAAAGGATATTACTACCTTTTTTTTTATAGGAGGTACTGAAAAGGTAAATACATCTATGAACACTGAAGAGCTAATCAAAGTGCCTTTCTTGGTTCCACTTTAAGTGCTCAAAATCAATTTCCTACTTGGGCTATTATGTTTAATTAATTAATCAATTTATTAATAAGCCATGTTAAATCTGTCTTGGAACAAGGTAGGATATACCTTTTTTAAATGAATATTTATATATAATTATCTGTTAGTTTGGTGAAACCCATTTTCATGTATTCTTTGTTATTAAGGTTAAGTTTCAGACAAAATTCTAAAGCAGAAGAATCCCAAGTGAATAAAATAAACAGCATATTAGTTTATCAGAAAGTTAAAAACCAGATGTATTAATAGAAGTAATAGGGACGCCTGGGTGCTCAGTGGTTGAGTGTCTGCCTCCGGCTCTGGGTGTGATCCCGGAGTTCCGGAATCAAGTCCCCTGTATGGAGCCTGCTTCTCTTCCCTCTGCCTATGTCTCTGGCTCTCTGTGTCTCTCATGACTAAATAAATAAAATCTTAAAATAATAATAATAATAATGTAAATGCAGTTTTTCTAAAAAAAAAATTATTTATTTGAGAGACAGAGAGAACAGAAGGAGAGGGAGAGGAAGCAGCAGACTCCCAGCTGAGCAGAGCCCGATGTGGGGGCTTGATCCTAGGACCCGGAGATCATGACCTGAGTGAAGGCTTAACCGGCTGAACCACTCAGGTGCCCTGATAAGTGCAGCTTTTATCAGGATGTCAGACTGTACAACAGGTGAAAGAGTGAGGGCTGGAATTCAAAAGTCACTAAATAAAAGATACTTATGTTTCTGAAAGCCATAGACATAAAGAGTAGACTGGGACAGGACTTGCCAGCTCCTGGTCTATCAAGTAATATATATATGCTCCAACCTCCTTCTCAACCTTAAGAGATAAGATTTGAAATTCCTTTAAGTTTTTAGAATTCTTCCTGCTAGAATTAGTTATAGGGAGCTTAGGATGCAAATAAATTGTCTTAACATGATATTATGAATGAGTTTCAATTAAAGCATGGTCTGTGGGCAGCCCGGGTGGCTCAGCAGTTTAGCGCCGCCTTCAACCCAGGGCCTGATTCTGGAGTCCCGGGATGGAGTCCCATGACAGGCTCCCTGCATGGAGCCTGCTTCTCCCTCTGCTTGTGTCTCTGCCTCTCTCTCTCACTCACTCACTCTCTCTGTCTCTCATGAATAAATAAATAAAATCTTAAAAAAATAAAATAAAATAAATGTTTGTGTTATAAACAAAGAATCAGACTGATTATCAAATCCTCCCTTTAAGAGGCCTGAATCCTAGATGTTTTTCTAATATCAAGGAGAAATGTACAAAAAGCTGGCTTTGAATTTTTCTTTTTACAGCTTTGCATTGGGTTGTCATGTTTACTTTCAAATGAGTTGGGTAAAAAACCTGCACTTTCTTCGTGCAGTTATAACATGCTCTGCATGTTTATGAAGAGACGATTTTTAAATGGTGTTGATTTTGTATCTTCATCCACACGACAGCTTCATGTCTCTTTTAGCACCTGTACTCTAGGTAATCCCTTCCAGTTTATCCTGCCACTTGTCATTACCCTGGAGTTTGTCCACCGACGAGGGAATACCCTTGAAAGTTTCTTGGTAAGAAATTATCAAGTAGCTGCCTATCTAATAATGATGATGATGATGGTTTTAATCTTGTCTTCTTTCAAAGGGTCTTAAAAGCTTTAAAGGTAATATTTCCCAAACTTGACTGGACACAGAGCAACCTAGAGGCCTTTGAACACACACACAGATGCATAAAAGTTACACTCTGAAAATTCTGCTTTAGTATGTATGGAGTAGAGTCTGGGAATCTTTTATTGCTGTTATTGTCTTATTTAAATTCAAAAGCTCATTTAGCTTCCCAGCCAGGAAAAAGAAACTGTCTAGAGACTTCCAATCTCTTGTAGGAGTATTTTAGTTATTACTACCAATAGTCTACCTTTTTTTTCTTTTTTGATTCCACAGCCCCACCCCCTCCAATAGTCCACCTTAGTATTTCTATATTGGGACACTGAGCTATTAATCTGAAGGAAGCAAAACTATACACCAACATTTCATTTTTCACAAAGGCCACAAGATTTGTAGTATATTGACTTAAATCCCAATCCTAGACCTGTCATTCCATAGCTGTAGAACCTTAAGCAGACTTCCATCACTGAGCATCCTTTTTCTTATATGTAAAACTAAGATAAAATAACAATACTGTTCTAATATTTTACAGGGCTATTTTACTTTACAGGGCTGTGAAAAAAAATCTAGTGATAATGAGTATAAATTGTTTGGAAAAGCATTAGTCAAATATTTTTATTCTTTGGTTTTAACCTCAACCTGATCCTTAACAGTTCATGTCTCTTAGTGCAGGGATTACCAAATGGCATGTTTACTCTTCTGGCCCATTAACGCTCACTAGCTTTGAGATCTACAGGTAGCTGAATACATTTGGAAGATGGCTACATAAAAAGACATCTAAGCCCAGGTTGTTTTGACCTACAATAAGAAAGAAATGACTCTGATCTGCGACTGAACTCTTTTACTTAATGAAATTTACAGCCCTTCTGGAAGAAATTAGACTTCATGATAAAATGCTTAAGCAAATTTGTGATTGAATTGTTATTAAGAATGCCACCTGGATGGGATCCCTGGGTGGTGCAGCGGTTTAGCGCCTGCCTTTGGCACAGGGCGCAATCCTGGAGACCCGGGATCGAATCCCACGTCGGGCTCCCGGTGCATGGAGCCTGCTTCTCCCTCTGCCTGTGTCTCTGCCTCTCTCTCTCTCTCTCTCTGTGTGACTGTCATAAATAAATAAAAATTAAAAAAAAAAAGAAAGAAAGAAAAAGAATGCCACTTGGAAAGTTAGATTTATCCTGTCAATTTTGAGGAGTCTAATAATCATTACCATTTTTCAATATAAATATCTCATTCAAAAATGGCAAGATTGAAATAAGAATTTGAAATATCGTTTAAAATCAAGAAGCTGCTGAAAAGCAGAAAACGAGTATTAAGATATGATCACAGGGTGCCTGGGTGGCTCAGTTGGATAAGCATCCTATTCTTGATCTCAGCTCAGGTCTGATCTCAGGGTCTTAAATTCAAGACCTGCACTGAGTTCCATGCCCAGCTTACTTAAAAAATAAATTAAAATGGAAAACAGTTTAAAAAATTAAAAACATATATGATCATGGTAATTTTAATAATTTATTTAGCTTTGGTTGTCAACATTAATAATAACTGAATAAAAATAGTAAAAAGAAAACCCAGTATTAGCTATAATTCTTTCATAACAGGGAGAATGAGCACGAGTGTGTGTGTGTGTATGTGTGTGTTGGGTGATTATGCTACGAGAAGAAAAAAGAGGGCAAGAAACAAAGGGTAAAAAATCAAGTGTTTAATTTTCTAACCTTTACCGTGGTCTTCACAGTTCCTATTATGATCCAAAATTAAGGAGTCGAACATTATACTAAACAGTAGGCAGACTACAGGGTTAACTTTCATAAAATATTAAGATTAGTTAGCTCTGTATTAATTCAACATGAAACCAGAGCAAGCTAACACATGATAATAGGAATTACAGAGCAGATTAAGAGGGAAACTCAGATAAGGTATTTGAAAGCAAGAATAAAGTAACGTTTTAAGTTTATATCCCACATTGTTCCAAATGGTATTCAAGATGACTAGCTTGGCAATTAATTCCAATTTGGTAGTGGCCTAAGTTATGGAGAATCCAAATCATTAGAAGCAACTCTTTAATAGGAAAAACCTTGATTCTGGAACCAGAAAGGCACAGGGAAATAACAGAAGATAGGATGCTGCAATCGAAGTCCTATGGAGAGATTTAGATTTA